TAAGAATTTATGTAAATAGATGTCTTATTTAACTGTTAGACCTGACCATAGTTAATACAACACCTAATAACTTATACGAGCCGSGCTTTGATCTTATACGACAACGAGTCCAAGGGGTCCATGATTTCATAGTCGACGGTCGCATTTCACTGATCGCAATGTAAACCTACAGTGCAGGAAACCCTTTGTAAATTTTCAGTATRTTTTCATTACTGATGTAAAAATTCCTTAAAATCGTTTGATACTTGGTAAAAGTGGTTGAAATTAAGGATTGAATTGATCGTAAATACTGTACTGAAGTTCGATTGCATGACTACAAAATATGAAAACATGTTTTTATGCAAATTAGTAAATCCAAAATTATTTCATACGCTCCTTATAGTAAAAGCTTGTTTTGCCTTTATGATTTTAATTAATTTGTTTCCTCTTTTTCATCTTTTTTTCCCGGATTCATTATTTTTCATGAATTTCCTCGGTATTACTAAAAAATGGATTTCCTCCTTTGATCTCTTTAATATTTGGCCATAATTCACCTTGTTTGTCCACAAAGAAATGGATTTTGGAATCCAGTGACAAAGAATCCAAAATCCAGATTTTTATTCGAAATATCGAAGCATCTTTATGATATTAAAGACCATTTATATTTCCAGACTACAATGAAATAATTGTATCAGGTGTGATGGAAATTATTTCATATCATGCATGTTTTTGTTTATTTATGATATTTTATAAACAAGTAACGATGGAGTACGGTGTAGAAATAAATAAAATAAAAGTAAGAAAAGTTAGAAATATGATTTCCAGGCCAAAGCAATCTGGAAATTAAAAATCTGTAAATTGAAATACGTCATAAGGAATCCGGAATCAGCATTCCCGATTCTTCTCATTCTCGATTACATAATTTTCTCTGCAACTTGTCTCACAACTGAGTTGCGATACAAGTTGCAAGAGCGTTTACACGGTGAAAGGAGACGCAATCGTTGCCAAAAGTAGAAACGAATTCTACTTTTCGTAACGATTGATTCAATTTGTCTCGTAACATTTTTAGTTTCAAATCGCGCTGTAGGTTACAGCGTCGACAGGTTGCAGAGAAAATTGCTCTGTGTAATCGCGCCTTTACATGAGACAAAGTTTTCGATCAGAGGAAGAATAGTTAAAATAATTGGTTAAGTAATTCTCGACCAATCAGAATCGCGAATCTTCATATTCACTTTTGAATCCGCAGTAAAATACTACTTTTAAAAGACATTTTAAACGTTCAGAGCAAACGATTACGACTTTTCAACGCACTGAGCTTAGCGTTATTCTCAAGTGAACGGAAATTAGAATGATGTATACTTAAGTTTAAATTTTGTTTTAAGGAGCACTTCTAATCAAATCGAGCCAAAATGTCAGGGCCTTTAGCTGATGAGCAATGGCTGGAAAAAAATCCCCAAGTCCAAAAATTAATAAAAAAGTTCATGAAAACGAGTGACGAGGCTATCCCGTTCATGAAAGAATATGCTGATGCTGTTCCAGAGATATGCACGAAGTTACAAGAATGGATCGATAACCTCCAGGTATGATAGATCGACTACTTCGACGATAGAATGCGCGTCATATATTCGTAAAACAATTACTAGCCATGTAGCCCTTGAACAGGGGTCGAGCGAGGAGGGGATGGGCAGGGGGGCTACTGCCCCCCTCCCCACTTTTCCCATTTCCCATACTAGTCTCTTATATTGTCCAATCTTACCC